TTGACATGCTCTGGCATGGCGCCCCGTGTTGTCCATCCCTTAGAGCAAAATAGCAATAGCAATTCAACGATCTTCGACCGACCTAGGGAGGGCTTCTCAAAGTCCTTCAGTCTGAGTCTGACTCTGGGCCTGGGCTTCTTAAGCTACAACATATTACAAAAGGGTCAACATGGGGAGCCACTTGCCCAGAACGTGCTTGCATGTTCAGTGTGCCTGTCACCCTTTCACCCTTTCAGCGCCAGAAATGAAATGCAAAACAGCTCAGCCAGCCTGAGAAAAGCGTGCGTCTGCAGCTCTGAATCTCAATATTGTGTGAATCAAGAAAAGAAGTTTTCAGAGATTGACTGGGACCAAGAAATCATTACTCGCGCGAGCTGGACTCCACGACTTGCCTGCCTGACCAAGGACACTCATGGTGGCGCTGTAGGTGATGGCATCCGGACTCAAGCGATTGACCCTTGTGAGCTCCAGGACCGTCAAGGCGCACCACCAAGGCTCCTGAGCCACTCCAAGGGTCGACCATCTGATTCTGAGAGAAGTTACCCGCTGGAAGTACTTTTGCCTCAAAAAACATCGTCAGGAAGTACTGAACCCTCTAGGGCATTCAATCACACCGTGTACTTCATGCTTGCCGTCTTGCATGGCCCACATGCTGTTGTAAACAGGCGGAATTGATGAACAGTCCAAATGGATGCGCATGCGTGCTATGTTTGCCAACTCCAAAAGTCAAACAAACTGTGCTTGATCCTTGGAAGCTCAAAGCACGGGTTACCTTTGCATCCAAAGCTCAAGCCCCTCCACCCGCAAGCCACAACAAGCACAATTATATAAACAAATAAATAAATATACATATAGAGAGAGACTCTATTTAGACCGATATCTTGCGTTCTCAGGTCAAAAATCCAAGTGGTGGGAACACTCGCACTGCCCTCCCAAACAAGTACCCATCCCCTGAACAAGGCTGGATCCACCTGCCAAGCAACTGCAATGGCGGCATTGTAGGCCACAGTGGTGCCGCCCTAGGTAGGATTGAGAAGCTTCTCCCCCGTTCACCAAGGGCTTGAACAGCTTCCCCATTGCAAACTAATATGGACTCTGAACATGAATTCCTGGATGATGGTCTTCTGATTCTAACCTGTGTTTTTAAGGGTTCTTGTCAATCTGCCAGCGGAATGTTGCATCTCAGGATCAAAACACGATGGCATTGTTATATATATATAGACTTCGACCCCCCTCCACAGCCCTAGCCCTAGCCCACACACAAAAAGGGCGAGATAGCAAACTCTTGACACACACACACACACACAAAATAGCAACTCCTGGCTTCTAGACCTTCAGATCCTAATCTTGTTTTGAACCTGAGGCTTCCCGCACATTACCATATCTACCACTTTTTGAGGAGATGACCGAAGACTGGCACACCTGAAGGGGCCTGTGTCTCAAGCCCGAAAGAAACCCTCTGTCCATAGAAGTCCACATTTGAACCATTTCCAATAGCTTCCCAGGCTTCCCAGTGGCCATCAGCCTCATGGCACGGCGCCATGTGCCATCACCGCCCACAGCAATGGCACCGGTGCGGGTGAAGTGGTCAGTGGCCTCAGTGCAGTGTCTCCCAAAACCACCTCCGCTACTGCGAAGTTCGGTCAAGATCAGCATCTTCTCAAGTTCGGTGAAGTTAGCCTGGTGCCACATCTGAACTCAAGTCACCATCTCAAATGCTGGGAACTGGTGGAGGAAAACACTACTACTATACAATATGTTACATGTTTCATTGTGTTTTGGGGTACCTGTAGCCATCACGACATCACGTGACACATCCGTACCAGGTGGGGTCATGACCTGCAGCAACAACTGATGTGACATGCCTCACCATGCCTCACCTAAGGGTCTGTGATGAATCATTTCCCCGCTTCGAAGCTTGGTTTGAATCCTCAAGGAGCACGTGGAGCTGCCAGAAGGTGCCAAGCACTATGTCACAGGAAATGCTCCCACAACATCCTGCTCCCACGCAGTGACCAGTGCAGCTCGGGAGCAAGTCCGGGGAGATCCAACCAGGACCTCAGCCATCGGGCGGGAAGGCGCTGGGCGAGCTACAACAAATGCCGCTACAAAAAAGGACCACACCTCCCCAGTTCAAAACACAAAACATATAAACAAATAATCGTCATAATTCATCGAAAATAATGTAATCCAAGGATTGAGGAACCCCTATTATTAAACTATTAATTCGTCAAACTTTCTCTGCAATACTAAACGCCGATAAAAAATACCTTGTGGACTCTTGTGGACAAGTTTCCTAATGTTGTTGTTTTCCACCAAGAAATCCACACTTTGCTCTGTCCCCTGATGTTGCTCTCGTTGTTCGCCCTTAATGTTTACCTTCACTTCACCAGTTATTCATCCTAAGTATTGCCAGTCTTCAAGAATGGCATCATGAGTTTCAGCCACAAAAAAGACCTCAATCTGGCCGCCTATTAAATATAGTTTATACTATAGTTATTATATTATACATCCTTGACCAAGAAAGGGTGTAAGTCCGCAGGTGGCCCGCAGTGTCAAACACAAAACTGTGGGGCTCCGAGCCACAGGTTGTGACGCGTCTCATGCATTGAGCGGATTTCACAAAGCCTTCACATTGTGAAAGATTTCTGCGAATGTGACGCGCACAGGTTCTATCTGTATGGGTCATTCGATATTGGTGTGGTCATGATAAAACTACAATATGTATATAATTGTATATATCTGTGTCATCCCTGAGACGATTGTACCGATGTATTTGGATGAAATATGCCCTGGCCCAGTGGCCCAGCACTCCGAGCTGCAATGTCAATGTCCAGGAGCAACCCGTCAAGCGACAGCTCTTCAACAATGAGTTGCCTCGGCCACAAGGAGTTATATAAGGGCAAACGTACCATAGATATTCGATCTGGAGGCCCGTAGACGTCGACCCGAACTTGCGAATCCGAAGCCTCGTGGTTTCAAATATATAAGGAGATTGAAAGAAACAACCAGTTGAATTGGAGATCTTTCAAGAACTGTCCAAAACATGTGGGGCTTTGTACTGGGCTCAGCCGGGCTTCAAGGCTACAAAGCCAGGTGACGGTAGGTCCAGCTGATTGATGGTGGAAATCAAGGATTGGAACACTACCTTGATCATCCTTGGTCAACATCATCCAGTGTCACGTGTCATGACTTGATTTGCTCCAATCTTCCTTCCTTTCTGATTGGACGTGCAAGGATCTGACCGAAATTTCTGTATGCATCACATTTCCTACCACTTGCCAAACCCGCCGGCAAAACCCGCCAGCATACCCATGTCACTCCCGAGCACAGCTGGAGTTTCACCATGTATCCCCTCTATTGACGGTTCTCATCAACTTTGGCCAGCTCTCATACAACTTTGCGCTCCTCCAAATGTATCAAAAGGCACAGTCGTCTGAGCCCAAGGATTGAATTCTGCCACCATGGACGTAAGTTAAATCATGGACTTCTTAATTCTCGCCTTTCCTTCCAAAACAAATCAGCAAATACCAAGATGTTTTCCAGATTATCCTTTTTACCTCCGGTATCCTCCGGTCGCCTGCGATGTCACCAACACGACTTCTCTATCCTTCAGCAAACAAGCTCCAAGCATCTCCAAACCCACCAAGCTGCAGCTGATGATGTCGCACTCCACCCCTGTGCCCCTCACTCCATGCAAGGCATTCTGCCAGGTCCCATCTGCGGTGGGCGGAAACCGCTGGTGACCCATGCGTGTAGGTCAGTGTAGGTCATGCAAATCTATGTCGATTGGTGAGCACATTAGGGGGTGTGTGTTCTTCGATGATGGTAAAGTTGTCCTTTTCCTGTTGAGGTTCCGAAGGTGAACATGCAACAAAAAGCCCACACGAAAACGCACCTCATTCTGGACATGAGGCCAGTAGTCAACTTCACATGACACATTATGATATGCAATGTCATTCCGCAGTATTATGGTCAAAAACTCTCGTGCAAATGGCGGCCTTCATCACAAGAGCTGATGAAGGTGTTGTAGGTTGTTGTGGTTGCTTGCAGGCCCTCGAGCTGCAAAATGTTGCCTCAGCAAAAGAAGGGGTGGAGACTCAACCCAGGACCCACCAAGTACATCGACCATGAGGAGACTGAGTCGCTCAACCCTGCGTCAAAGTGGATAGGATGCAGTTGTTTCTTCACGTTTCTTGTCTCAAGTGGTATCATGGGTTTCTTCCATGCCCTCTAGTCTGAATCAGGCTGAACTATTCGATTGCATGCAGGGAAAAAAACAAAACAAAAACAAGACAGCAACAGGCCACAGGGCTCAATATGCATTGCCCGCTGTGCTATGGATCCTATGGATCCCTAGGTTGGAAGAATACCCTCGAAAAAAACTCACAAAAACGGACGCCAATGCTCTTCCAACATCCTTATACACACTCTCCAAACTCTGAGAGTAAAGAAGGTTGGAAAGGCACACACACACCACCTATGATCAGGGCCATGTTTGGCAGCATCCTGACGAGAATCGCCCAACACCTTCCGAGCCAGAAAAAGGTCGATGGAGTCAGACTCAGTCGATGGAGTCGAAGTTGCCAACCCAATGGCCCAAACTCAGGTAAAGAACAACGCCAGCTGCCAAACGCCTGTTTGGAACAAACGCCATAGAAAACACCGGCCTTTTTCTTCAGTCCAAATGCCAAGTTACAGAGCTCCAGGGCCCTTGGCCAATGAGGCCTGCTCTTCAGCATGGAGTTGAAACCTTCAGGTTTGCACTCAGCGAGACTCCCGCCGTACCGTCCGTACCGTTCTGGGGTGGGGAAGTCGTGGCTGGAAGAAGTTCTGTTCCAACGAAACCCCGACCATTCCAACGTCCCACTCAAACATACTCAAACGCTCATGTGAATAAGTGAATCCTATAAAGGCTGACCAACTATAAAAACTGCTGGCAAGTTCTTCATCACGTTTGTTCTCAACACGCCTTTTCTCCGGTGGGGTGCACCCTTCCCTCAGTCAGGCACCTCATCGCAGTTCCCTGGACCCTTGATGTCGCACTTGGGGCAGTCCGGATCTGAGCAAGGTCGACACACGAAGCTCTGTGCCTCCTCCCATGTGGCTTGAACCGCTGTCCATCCACTGTGGCATCCATCTTGATCGCAGTGTGCCGGGCCGGAGACGGTGCATTTGCGGCAGCGATCTGCACACGCTTTGCACTGGTGCTCGCGCAAGACGAAGCCGTCGCTGCATCGTAGGCAGCTGCCAGCGAGTCTGCAACTGGTACATCCGAGGCCACAACGAAAGCAACCCCCGCTGGTGGTCACGCCAAAGTCCTCGCTACACTCGGTACAAATGTGTGGATTATGATCACAGGCTGTGCAATGCTGCACACGGCACGCTTCACATTCTGGCTTGCTGAACCAGTTCCTCCGCACATATCCAAAGCCTTCAAAGCAACCACCGGGCTTGCAATCTGGCGAATCCCCACAATCGCGGCAATTGGGTGCACAGGCCTTGCATTTGCCGCTTGGCTCGAGCCTGAAGCCATCCTGACACTTCACGCACGCCTCCTTGTCAGTGCAAGAGAGGCAGCCTGGTCCGCACAAAGCGCAAGTGACATTCCCGCCGGTGGTGTCCAGAACAAAGCCACCTGCACAGGCGGTGCAGCCTGAACCTCCCTCACAGTGGAGGCAGTTTTCATCCTCGCAGCGTTGGCAAAGGCCATCAAGGTCAAGGCCATAGAAGGGGTTGCACGTTTTGCATGGCAACACACTTGGCGGTATTGCCCCCAGCGCTGGTCCATCGCAGCTCTGGCAGTTTTTGGAGCCGCATGGCAAGCAAATCTTCTTGGAGGCATACGGTGCAAGACCAAAATTTGTCTTACACTTGGTACACTGTGAGATGCCCTGTGGACATCGCAAGCATCCTTCCGGACAGGGGCGGCAGGTGGAGTCCGCGTCTTTCTGAAAGCCCTCCTGGCAATGCCGACATTGGCCTTGTCGATCACAAATCTCACAGTGTGGTGGGCACCTCTTGCCATGGATAACATTGGACACTGCAGCCTTTGGGCTCAAGGCGCCTGTGACATCGTTCCGGGCGATGGCGTAAATCGCCACCTCCTCGAACCAGGGGAAGGGATGCACTTGGATCTCCGCCACATAGGCGAAGGTGCGCCGGTACAGGCCGATGCCCAAGGTCTCATCGTTGAGCTTCCGGAGCACGGCGTCGATGTCCGTGGCCTCATAACCATGATCACTCATCCAGGACCACAACTCCAAGGGCTTCGCTTCCACATGTCCTGCGAGCAAGGCCCGGGAGCCATCACCCGTACGCCCCTCGCGCACCTGAAGGCTGGTGGGCATCGCCTTGTGGCTGGCGGAAGCCACCCAATACACCAAGGGCCGATGAGGCCAGTCTTCCGGCGCCTCTGGAGACAAACAGGGGACACTCACACTCACCGTGTCCGCACGGCTGGTGTTGATTTGGGCCACGGAGGGGCAGCAGCCTGCAGGAAGAGACAAGGAGGAGAACATGACCACCTGCTGCTCATTCGCCACAGGGCCATAGCGAAGGAGTGTGATGGGCAGCACGTTGAAGAGCCTACAGAAAATGCTCACTGAGGCGGCCAAGAGCAAGGGCACCCAAAGCACCGCCACCTGTTGTGCGACATCCAAGCGCTTGGTGCGCTTCTTAGAGGTAGGTGTCTCAGGTTGTGAGACCTCCACCTTCCAAATGGTGTGCCGCTCCATGGTTCGGACGTACATGATGAACTTCACCAACATATTGTCAAAGCTCAAGGTCATGAAGACATAGTAGGTCATCCATAAGGGCTCGATGGGATTTTGTCGTCCCAGGATCACTTGTCCCGAGGTCACCATGACCATCAAGGCCAAAAGATACTGGAGGGAGATGCAAAGCCAACAACAACAAAGCCTTCGCCGACTCGTGAAACTCAAACGGCTCTGGCGCAAGACCTTGGTTTTTTTTGGGATCAATGCTGCAGAAAAAGCATCACAATAAGAACGCAAATTGTAAGTAAGGGACGCCCACCCAGTTATAAGAAGAACATGGAAGAACCATGAATAACCAGACTTAAGACTAATCCATACAATATTCAATCTAATAATATCATACCATCGTTCGCTCAAGAGCCTTGATGGACTCGGAGATCTCATGGAACTCCTCGGCGATCTGGCCCAACATCAGCACTGTAGCGAAGGATTTCATCACGCTCAAGGAGTTCGAGGCCGAGTTGGGTAGGAGCCACTCACCCGAGGCGAAAAGATATTGGGGAGAGGCGAAGCAAATGATGTACAAGACCTGAAACAACTGGGTGCATATGCGGCATATGCATATTAAGACTTAATAATTATATTGATATAATGGAATTGGCCAGGAGAAGCACCAACTTCACATCACCTCACCAACCTCACCAACCTCATAAGTCTAAGCCAGGACACCGAAAACTGCAACACGCAAATTGGAGTAATCAGCATCATCGGCATCCAAAGGCTCACCCCTCGGAGAGCACACACCAACACCAAACTAAAACAGCTGGGCGTCAGCGAGGCAGTCGAGATGCCCCCATCACCTGCGCTGGCCACCTCGTACCAGCGCAACTCCGACTCCTCACTGACTCGCGTGTGCAACGGAAGGCTCGCTTCCTCCGACCTGCGCATGGTCGTCGTGCCGGAGGAGGTCGGTCCACGCTGCTGGAGTTGGATCTCACTCTGTGAGGATTGGTGCCCACCGAAGAAGCGATGGAGGCTTTGCGTCTCCGGGAGCGCTTCACGCATGGAATCGCGTGTGGTGCTCTCAGTGTCCATGGGACCAAGCATGGGCAGCTGGAGGTAGGGAAGCTTGCTTGCTTGGCTTGCTAGCCCATGGCACCGCAAATAGAAAGTTAGTCCACGAGTTGAAAGCAACAAGAGGTTTTCATAGAAAAACTGGGCTTTCCATGGTTTTCCTGATCATTCATGGTAGATTCTTGGATGACGTGTTGCGTCCAAACAAGCTCTTGCACTTCATAAGCATGGAACAATGTGCCGCTTCCTTTCTTCTTTCATACAGATCTGCTAGGGAAGGGGGTCTTCTTCGATGCTGCGACAAGGCTCACTTTCTGTAGTTGTTCAATCACAGATACGCTTGCAGTATGCGCGGCGATTTCAAGTTTCCCCAAGGCACCACAAGCATATCAAACAAAGGCACAAAACCACAAACAATACTTGCCAAGGTTGAGGCGTCAGTAAGCTTGTGGAAAATGGATCTCCATAATATATATTATATTGAGACTCACTGGCATGAAGGTGGATATTATTGGTACAGGATATCAGTCTTCCCCCAAACACGTTCCCACTTGGTGGCCTGCTCCTCAGAGTCGCTGGCGTGCGCACACCAGCCCGACGTGAAAGCTTCTCACATGGCACCAATGTTCGCTTCATCTAATAATTCCATTGTTAATGCACACTCAATTATTAACGTAATATGATTTATCGAATATATATATATATAATATGAGTCCTCTTCTATTGGTAATGATTCATTACAGTATATTACAGTAAGAGGTCTTGCAAGCCAAATGAAGGAGTCTCATGAATCGAGAGTCTACGACGCAACGTGGAGGTTCACGACTCCACACCCGCCCACGGAGCGCTCGGGTCGGCAGCGATTCGGTCCGATGCATGCCGGGAGCTGATGATGTCGGCTTGAAGTCCCTGTTTCCAGTGCTCCTCCGACCTGGGAAGTGGTGGATCAACATACTAAACCTATGGTGTGGGTCGGCCTGTGAAGGGGGGAGCGACCATGACCCATCCCCAATAGGTTCCTGACCTACCGTACAGTATTAGTTATAATGTAGAATATTATACTAGTACCCTATGCGTCCAAGACCTGGATTTTTTAAGTTCGACTTAGATTTGCAGCCTCGACTTAGAAGTGTACTGTTTATACAAACATACCGCGACAAGATCCCTTTGGATGGTGGGGTCTGAAAGCCAGGAATCAACAGTGCATGAAACATAATCACGGTTAAATAAGTTCAACACATTTATTGTCAAATGTGTTTTTTGATTGATACTGCACATACTGGATTTTACTGATCGCATGTTTGTATCCGTGACGCGTGCGGATCTTCTTGCCATTCGCACCAAATGAACAGTAGACTGACCATGGACAAACCGTGGAACGACTTGAAAAAGGCATGGAACGACTTTAAAAAGTCGTGGAAAGACTTAAAAAGGTCGTGGACACCACAACCCCTGAGAATCCACTTGAAACATGTTTTACACAGCACTGTCCACGAAAAAAGTCCACACAAAGGATGAACAGATTGGCTTCGTGCCCGGTGAAAGGATTGGAAAACGGCTTGACGATTCGAGACTGTGTACATGCACATGCGAAAACAGGGGTTGAAGCTTTATTTGATGCTGCTCAGATCGCTTTAACATGACATATATAGGTTACAGCGACTCTTTTAAGTCTTTCTTTAATTCCCAGTTTAAGTCTTTGCTCAAAGACTCAGATTTTCTCGGACTTTGGAAGTTTAGGGAGTAGCAAAAGAAACGGGATCTTCTTGTGCGCTGACGAAGGGGAGGTGCAGCCAAACAATCAAATTTTGTTGATACTTACTTCTGCCAAGGCTGGATAGCCGCATAGCCAAGACTTTTTCAGATCTGGTGCACACACAAACACACTGACACTGTTGATAACCAGTTGCCTGTGTGCAGCACCTGCGAAGCCTACAGAATGACTTTGAAAACCTACTCCCTTCGTAGCAGAAAAGTCGAAAATAACATGTCAAGTCCATCAATGTCCATCCTCATTAGGGCCCAACTAGGCCAAAGTGGCAGGAGGATTCCAAGTGCCCAAGCTCTTGGATCATCCATCGAGCGCATGGCCGAGACGGAACCTGGGTATGTGTCCGAGTGAGGACCAATGGGTGTTCCATGGGTCATTGACTCGCGAGGATTGGAGTGTGTTTTGGTTTTCTTTTGTCGTCCGCCGACAAACTGGCACCATTTTGCACACGAAGAGCAAACCAAACAGCGTCAATTGCAAAGCAAGGTGCTGAGAAGGGTGTTGAACGCCACCAAGCTGATTTCCAACTCCCTTTCCCGTTGCGCCTCCAAACTGCAATGGTTTCTTTCGAAGGGTAAGCATGAATCGATTCGACTGTGTCTAGGGTGCAACTCTGGCGCCAAACACGGAAGTTTGAAAGTTGGAAGACCTATTATTGTGGGTCCTAACCCTCGAGCCTGGTTTGCCACTGGAAATGAGCAGGACAAACTATCCGGGAGATCAACCTGGACGCAAACATGGTTGTTTTACCTCTCACACCTGGCCGTTGGTCAACCCCAGTGCTCAGTGTACTAAGGGTAATGGGTTGCAGCCAACACATGAACACAAAGGCTGGCACAACGACAGTGCTGGGGGGTCCGTGACAATTCCTGCAAATCTCGGAAATCACCAAAGAAAGCTCGGCATTTCTTGGCGTGATCTTGCTTGGAGGTGCCAAATGGCCCCCGAACATGTTTTCATGCGCGTTCAATCGTGTTTTCTGCTTGACCCGCCGGCATGTAGCCCCAATCCATCAGGCCTCGATGGTTGCTATGGCTTGCTTCCATTGAGATCCCTTCTCACAGGATGAGAGAGCGGTTCCACCAATCACCTGACTCCGATGGACTGACACGTGATGGGGCCACCGGTTCGCCGCCCGACACGAAGGCCCGGGTGAAATGAACGGATCTGCGCTCAGCAGCGCTCAGCTTTGGCTCATCCGAATATCTTGGAATACTGGATGAGTGGGGGTACCACTACCACTATAGAATGCTTTCGATTCGTGGTCACCAGTGCACCTCTTCCATAAGCAATGTGTATATTATGTATAGTATAAACTGAAACTATGAGGTGTGACTATCTGTGTCTCAAGCGCTTGTGCTTGGACTCGCCCCATGTCATCGTTGAATCTGTCCCTGTCCCTGTCTCTTCTTCGCACTCCCAAGTCGCTACGTTGCACTCCAGGTCAGCGTCCTGATTGGTCAGCATGTTCAGAAAGCTTTAGGATGCATGGGATTCTCTGTCTTGTCTGGCATGCCTCCCTCTGCCTCTCTGTCTTTCTCTCCCCATCGCTCTTACTTCAGCTGTGCGTCTGACAGCTCATCAAGCCTCCAGCGCAATGAATCATGTGGTAGGCAGTCCGATGGTCAACCCTTGCAAAAGCAAAACACAACACCTTCTGCCTTCCATGAACTCATGAACTCAGGTCAATGGCATTACACAAAGCTGCACAAGTTACAGTATCCATAGTGATACGATTCATGGTAGTCGAGATCAGTTTTCCGTGCCACACAATCTGGAGATCCACTCAATGCGGCCTTTCTGTGGCTCAAGTCAATGCAAATGCCAAGGAACAAAATGGAAGCATCTTTCCAATGAAAGCTCTTAGCATAGGCATTCATGGCAACTCCTTAGTGACATGTCACCCACATCAGTCTATTCTATTTTCGACCTTTTTGGCGCGCAATCTTGGCATGTTTCTAATTGTCAGGCCAAATTTCTGACAAAGTCTGCTCCCAACCCAGGGCTCTCTATGTTGACTTGCCACCGGTTGCGGTGCTTCTGGGGAGCCCAAACAAATTATAACACTTCATAGCAGGGAGACTGGTCTCACAGCCCTTGCAAAAAGCCTCTGACAGGAAAATTGCATTTTCAGTGGCTAAGGAGCTGTCTGTCTGGACTACGCCGACTACGCTCGTTACAAAGGAGAAAACAGAACATGTGTGTGTGTGTTGTTTCATCAACACTGGGGTCCATGCTCTTTCAAACATAATTCACCTGGTGTTTTACCCTTGGTTCTCACATGCCCACGTCGTCGACGTCCATGCTCCCCAGGGGACCATAGAGCACTTCGTTCAGCTCCTGGCGCTTCCAGGTCCTTAGTGACTCGGCCGCCGTTTGGCGACAACGCAGCACCACCACATCCAAAGCAAAACTAGTTGCGTGCCAGATCTGGTATATCACTGATTGAACCGTTGGAGGCAGGGGTGTTTGTTCCATCATCCCTTCGTTTCTTAGTCCTGTTGAAGTAGAAACATTGCCCAAACCGGTGAATGGATGAATGCATATGAATGCTCTTTTGCCTTTGCCTGCTCATATTCCATGTTTCACACTGCCAGAAACATCTTCATCGGTTGGCCGGGCAACATCTCATCCAGCAGGTAGGCATTGCGTTGCCAGGCAGCGCCTTTTCCGCCCTCCGCAGCGAAGAAAAAGGGCACCGTGCGCATCTGCATTGCATGCGAATTCCGGAAAGGCGCATCTAGCGGCTGGGGTTGGATGGGGCACTATAAAGGAATCACTCTGACCAAATCAAGTCACTTGACTTGAGATGACCTGAGGTTAGCATGAAATCACATATAAACATATATAGACTATGATAAAACAAAAATATGATCAAATTATAGAATATCATATAACCATATTATATGATATATCATAGTAATTAATTAACATGGGAGTGTTATCACTTCATGAGGGACAGTGGCCACAGGAAACAAAACATAAGAATAGCTTGTCCGTTTGGATTGGATATACAAGAGATCAGCCCCACTGGACACCAAAACCTCGAGCCAAAAGCGATGAGCCATGGCAGGAAAAGCAAGCGCCACCTGTACGACAGCAAGGAAGCGCCACCAACGCGTACCAGGTTCCAAAACTAGACCCATCAGCTTGAGAGCAAACATTCCAAACATGTCTTAAATGCTCTAAGTACGCCTGATCTTTGCAGCCACGGCAATCTCTCCGGATCGGATCACAGATCATAAACATTCCATTCATTGACAGATCGCAGCAGATCGCACCAAAAGGACAACTGTTTGAACTTGCTCGGCTTGATAGTTGATCTCACACAAAACGGTTTATATACCAACTCCAAATCTTTGCGAAGAAATCACCGAAAAAGGATGTGTCGACGGGCTTTCAACACGCAAAAGGTGAACACACAACGTGCGGTCTTTCTGTGGTCGGCACAGCCTCGCTGCTTTCGCGACAGTCGCACGCCCCTGCGATATGCATCTACCCGGTCTATATCCCACCATGAGATGAACTAAAGCCTCCAAACGTATACGTAATGTCTCAGAAGTCCATCTTGAATAACAAGAAGCTACTAGGAACAAGTGTTTCTAATAGCTTCTTGTTACTACTAGTAAGGCACTTGTTACTATGGCACTTGTTACTACTAGCGTGGCACTTGTTTCGTAATGTCTCAGAAGTCCATCTTGAATACTATCTCTTGTTTATGTCTTGCATTACGTATCTTGCTTGTTCCAGGGTAGGTGCCTGTGCAAACACTCGAAATCCTTCTGTCATCATTATAGAGTCGTCAACGAAGGGCTCGCAAGTCGATGGCGTGGCCTTAACATTGTCAGGGAGCTCTACTGGAAGCAAGGAAAAACGCGTCTAAAATTCTAGCCATTTCTAGCCTTGCAGCCTTCTTGAGGGTACAGTATAGAGAGGAACAATTTGGATGGATCTTTTTGCATGTCCTGCAATATTACATTTTGGGTTCTGTCTATTTGTCTACTGAGTCTTCCTGCGACAATCCGTATGCTCCTTTCACCCACCCCTCCTCCCACATCCTCCCACCCTCTGCCGCTCCGCCCAGTGGATCGGTAACTGATGTTCTCGCCGCGGTGCCAATGCTTTCAGCATCATGGGCATGGTCGACAGTTGCCGAAGCTCATGCGCAGCTTCGGAAGATCTTCTGCAGACACCAAGGGGATTCGCGGGAAGACCAGCCTGCAAAAAAAAACCGTGCATCACTGCAGTATCAAAATGTAAGGGGAGACTCCCCTGCTTCCAAAGACTTCAGCAGAAAGGAGCATAAACACGGATAATGTGACAAATCAAACAATCTTTAAGCCCCAAACACACTGTTGTACTTGGCAAGCTGTTTCGTACTCGGATGGTTTCCAAGTGTTGTCCTGATTGTACATGTCATATACATTTCTACGTATCGTCATTGTATATTATTTCGCCAATCCAAAATCAAGAACACCCTGGTCTTCTCACGTCCCAACATCATCATCCGACATTTGTGATTCAACTTTTGATCTTTCCCATTGTCTTCAAATCCTTTTTCTCTTCATGCAGCGAAGAATGCCGAACTCCCCTGGAAATATCACTTCTTGTTGACCACGAGACGTTCCTTCTCACTGGCAAAGCGTGCCTCAACGATCGAAAACGGATGGTCGCAGGAACGATCCGTCTGGTCCGTCATGGAACGAAGCGACATTTAACACCAAAGTAACAAAGAAAGTGAAACAA